GAATATTCTTGTAATGTTTCAAAGATCTCTAGAATTCAGTTATTGATAATTCGATGAATCGAAAGATTTAAAGAATTTATATAAACTACTATAAAATATATTCATAACCCTAAATTTTTTTACGAAAATCTAAAAAAGAGAACTCTCACACTTTATCCCTAAAACCTTCGGCTCCATTATGATTGTCTTCTCTCTCCTGACCAAATATAATGAGGTCCAAGTCGTCATCATCATGCCAACTGATGAGACTAGATTTGTCATCATAAACCATGTTTAATTTATATTTAATCTTACTTACAAGTTCTAGAAATTTAAAGTTTCCGATATATACAAGGCCGTGCCTCCTTTGTAGTTTAAAGAGGTATTCCTCTGGGAGTGGATGATTTTGTGTAATTTATCACTTCATATTCTAAAAATTAATTGTAATATAATGATAAAAATATGGTAAAAATAAATTTTGAGATTCCTATCATAAATTCAAAGCCACTTTGATGATAAAATAAGAGTTTATTTTTTTATCTCATTAACTTTTTATTGACATTCTAACAATTATCTAAAATTAAATTATATTTGTAGTTAAAAAATCATATATAAAAAAAATTATTTTTAAATTAGTTTCGAACCTCTAGAAATTTAGGCACGGCATTGCGTATATACATGTTGATCAAGAACAGTTTTCGATGTGGGAATGTGGCAACGCTACTTGCGCTACTAGATCAGAAGAATAAACGGTAAACTAGATATTAAACTGAGCTCATACAACTTACATGTTATATTTCTGTAGTAATTTCGTATGTGTGTTCTTGCATGGTACTTACTCCAATCAGCAAAAACTATAGATTCCTACAAATTTGAATGATATAAAACGTGTACAAAATATATATACAAGTAACACAACAGTAGATGTAGACCTATATACGTATATAAAAAGAGACGTATACGTATACTACGTGGCAAAACAAACCCAAGAAATTCAGGGGAATGGACCCCACCAATTTTATCTATAAATAACACCACAACCCTCTCCCCCTAAAATGCAACAACACTCATCTTTCACAATTCTTAAATATACAACAACTTTTGTTTCTTGTTTTTCATTTCACTTCTTCATATAAATCAAGAAAAAAAACATACACAAAGATGTCGCTAGCTATCGCAGATGTTTACACGGTGAGGAAGTTTCACAAAGAGAGTATGAAGAAACCGGCCAAACCGGCGATTACCGGCGACGGAGGGGAAAAGATCGTCGTCGGAGGTATCCCGGAGGCGGTGAATTCTCCGGTGAAACAGAGTGGAAGTAAAAGATTTGGACGGTGGTTCGTTAGAAAGCCGGGAATGAAGAAAAGCTCTGCTAAAGTTTCGGATCCCATGACGATTGAATAAATTAAGAAAGAATATAATTCTCTCTCTCTTTTTTTTGTTCCCTTTCTTTATATGGTTTTATTTTCATGTGTCTTTTTTGGTTTCTTGCTTTTTTTAGTGTCGTTTCTTTTTTTCTTTATTCGGTGGTTTTATAATTAGTTTGTAAACGTTGTAAGGTCCGAACTTAAAATATGTAGAATGAAGTAATATTGGTAAAAATGCCAACCATATATATTTGATGAGTTTTATGCGTAACGTAACTCAAAATGGGTGCCCAAAATTTTCATATTTTAGAAAACAAGAATCAGTATTTGTTTGTTGTTGTTTCGATCTTACTCTCTAAAACTATGTATATACGCTCTTATAATTTGAATCTCAAATTTGGTTATGGAAAAAAAATTGGAACAAGAAGATACAACGACGTGAATAGTTTTTTTTTTGTTTATGATATAGACATGAATAGTTTATAGTTGTTCACTTTCAATGTGAAACCTATATTAGTTTTATGTCGTTGTGGATTTCACTATAATCAAACTTTAAAATTACATTACTTTCCCGTACAAAATGAAATGATGATAAATAATAAAATAAAATAAAAGAAAAAACTTATGACAAACTAACATGAGCCTCAAAATACCTGAAATACTTTTGATTAAATTTTTGAGTGAGGCTACGACTCTAACCTCTTGGAAAAGGAGTTTACAATCCAATCCGTTCACAAAATTCTACATTGACTGTTCAAATTGATCAATGTATAGTTCAGTCATTCTATATTATTCACAGTGAGACTCAAAAACTTATGTTAGTTAACCATTTTGACTCTTTTATCATGATTTTTAATATGTTTATCAACAAAGCTTATCTTAGAAGTTAATTTGGTGCAGCACGATATATATTTCTAAATAAACTATGTTGACACTCTTCTTATATGTCAAGTCACGCAAATATAAAAAGAAAGATATGGGAAAAGACTTTGAAAAAGGAAATGTATAGTGGGTTTTGGAAAAGAAGKAAAATTAGTGGAAATTCAAAAGCATGAGTAGTGCAAAAAATAAACTAAAAAATCTATGAGGACGATTGGGATTTGGGAGGAGGGCACTTTCTCACTGTGATTGGTTTCCGTATTTTTTGTCTGTCAATAGTATGAAGTTGAATTTGGATGTGGTGATATCACTAGACAATTTAGACGATTGGTCTAACTTCTAATCAGGCCTACTTCTAATTAGAATCTCACTAGACAATTTTTTTGTCTTTTAATTAACATATTCTTTTATATTTTCAATGTTGATGTTGAAGTTCAACAAAACCTATGTTGCATCACATATACATGTTTCGAATAAAAGATTAAAAATACCAACGACATCGCGGTAAAAACTTCCCAACAAAGACTGTATCCTCTTTCTTTTTTTGTTTGTCCTGAGAAAATACATTCTAACAAAGACGATATCTGCACTAGTAGCTTTTGTTTTTGAAAATATATGTTGAAGTTCAACAAAACCTATGTTGTATAACATATACATGTTTCTGATAAAAGATTAAAAATACCAACGACATCGCGGTAAAAACTCCTCAACAAAGACTATATCTTTTTTTTTTTATATAAAGAAAATACATTCTAACAAAGACTATACCTTCATTAGTAGCTTTTGTGTTTGAAAATACTTTAAAGGACTCGTACGTAAACAAAGACAGAGACTTTAGCTTTGAATCAATGGAGAAAAACTAATTTCAATGATCTTATGTAGTAAGGAAAATGAG